GCGGCCCGACCATTTCTGTCACGCGATTTGCTGGAGAACATGATCGAATGATGTAGCAGGCCTTCGGCCCGCTTAAACCCGTCGTCTTTGAGTTTGCCCCAAAGACTCGAGAAAGGGATGTAACGGTGAAGCACCGTGACTACAATCCACCCTTCTGCTTAGAAAACGGGTTTTGGGGGTGGGGGGAGAGTTTCCTTTCTATTTTGCGGTTTCTAGGCCTTTTTCTACAAATAATTGTTCAGTACAGCAACTTTTAGCTTATTTTCGTCCAAAAAGACCCTCTAGCGCCTAAACGGTTAGAGATAGAGCCAAACGGACAAAATTTTCATCGGTCGAAGGGCTCCATTTTGACGAGTTACCCCTTAGGAAAACGTAAATAAAAATTACTTTGTGGGAGAATTTTTGAACCTTGGATACCCCCATTTACACCCTTAGGGGTGGTTGCCAGGATTTGCCGTAGGCGTTTCGTTCTCTAGGAGTGGACCTTAAGATACCCTGAAATTTTCAAGTCTCTAGCACATCTTCTAGTGGAACAGACAGACAGACACACAGACAGACACACGAGGTCGTTTGCATAAGCCGCTGGATAGCTTTTTCAAAGCAGAAGGGCGGGCTAAAAACAGTAGGTAGGTCATTTTAGTGCACCTTTGTGGCAAACCAACAAGTCCAAAATAATTGTTTTTATCAAGAAAACTAGAAAATGTTACCGATTTGATCTGTTGAGCAGTACATTGACCATTCCACCGAATGTGGAAGAAGAAAGAAAATAAGTAAAATGCACCGAAACTGTATTGCTACCAGGGGTCCGTTACTTAACATGAAACTCCCCTTAAGCGGTACGTTATCCGTTAAAGTTTTAACTTATAACTTGTGACGTTAAGAGTTAGACTCAAAATGCCGGAAAAAGCTCCAACTAGCACCAGAATAATCTTTGACGACCTATAACTTTAACCTTCATTGCGTTAATGCTTTAATGCGTTAAACGTTCACTGATGAAATCGTTATCATTTTCTTGTTTCCTTGATAAAAATAATTATTTTAGACTTGTTGGTTTGCCACGCCACAGAGGTGAACCATAATGATCCACGTACTGGTTTTGAGTACATTTTCCTGCTGTTTTATGATTCTTTTCTTTCTTCTTCCACATTCGGTGGAATGGTCTAGTGCATAGCATCACTTTGTAATTGCAAAGTAAGTGCTTCGTAATTACAAAGGATCTAAATACTTCGAAGTTCTGCGAAGTGTTGCTTTGCAGGATTCTAACATTGGAACGGGATTGAAAAATACAGAGCCGTTCCAGTTCCTTTTTCAGGCAGGGAATTGTTACTTGTGCAACTGAATGTAGGCTGCTTGACCATCCCACTGGCCTTTGCTCATTTAACTCACCTCCACCTAAAACCCCAAAAGTCTTCTGAACAGTGGTAGCTGAAGTGCACTTCCTTCGAAGCTTCAACAACACGCTTAGACATAATCGTATTATCTCATCTCCAGAAAGTGCAGCGCCTACGTGATCTTATTCGGTCGGGCAAGGAGCTAGCCGTGTCGGAGGATGCCCCTTTGGATGTTCCTGAGGATCTGCGACAGGTAAGTGATTGACCCGCTGAAGTCTAATCAACATTTTCTTCAGTTTTCTGCATTTCACGCTTGCTTTCAATAAAGCACGTGGACTGAAGTGAGGGGAGTAAAAAGGGAAAAAACAAAGTTCCGATGTCCTACCTTTCCAGGGGGGGTAATCCTGTTTTAGGGCTGTAAAAGTATATATTTTCTGTTTTTCCAATTCGTGAATATGTTTTCTGTCGTACCAAACCTGCAGTTAGTGTCCATGTATAGGTGATTTGGACGCCCGCTTTAGGTTCTCAAAGCGTTGCACCCCGTGCGAAAACGTCCAACCTGTTTTCCAAAAATCGACTTTATAGACGAACCTGTCGCCTATCCGAATCACTGAGAGAATGAACTCTACCTGGTTCCGGCCTCGCTGGCGGGTCCTAACCCCCCTCTACCCGTCTTTGGTGTCACATGTGGAGCGCCCCCGAGCGGGGTGCGTTGCGTAGTAGAACCAGAATGGGGCGCCTGACTGAAGCCGTTTAAACTCGCTATTTGTGTTCAAATTTCAGTCTGACTCACAAAACTATAATTACTTTCGGTAATGGCTTTGAATGATGCGTCAAAATAACCGTACAGACGTCTGCTTTTTTTAAATCATGGGATTTTCTTGGTAGGAATTTCAAACCCATTCCATGTGAGTCAGATTGAAATTTGTATACAAATAGCGAGCTTAAACGGCTTCAGTCAGGCTCCCCATTCTGGTTCTACTACGCCACGCCACGCATCCCGCTCGAGGACGCTCCACATGTGACACCAGAGCCGGGTAGAGGAGTAGGGTTGGGCCTCACCGTCGAGCGCGGAACCAGGTAGAGTTCATTCTTTCGGTTATCCGGACTATATACCGGACAAATTCTGCAACATTAGTGCTTGGCCCGCGCGGGGGACCGGCGCGTTATGATCGTCCCAACTTCTCCTCCGCCGATCAACAATCACTACAGTGATAGTAGTAACGAGGCTTCTTACCTGGTCAGCCTGGCCAGATAACCCCAATAGACCATTTCAGGGTTAGGGTTAGGTGATTTAAAGAAGTAAAGAATAACAAACCGGAAAAGTACTGCCTTCTAATCGCCCCCCATACCCTCCGCCCTTCTTCACTCCTCGCCCAACTGTTATTTCCTGCTTCGGTTTTTCTTTTCTTCTTCTTGACACCGCGACTGAAATGGTCTACTGACCATGTGCTTTGACGTTGGCGGCCTGGGCCGAACGGTTCATTTTCTGTTTGGCAACACGACGGTCTGTCTAGGACTGCCCGTTGCTGCGGCTGCCTGGGCTCGTGCTGCGGCTCGTGTGCCGGCAGCTGAGCGGGCGCGACCTGGTCCGCCTGGGGCTCGTGTCGCGCGGGTGCCGCCACGTGGCTCGCCACCCGGCCGCCTGGGGCCACGTGCGCGCCTCGTGCTCGCCCCTGCTGGCCGTGGCGCCCGCCCTGCGCTCGCTCGACGTGGGCTACAGCTGGCCGCCGCCGTTCCCGCTGCGCCTGTGCACGCGCCGCGTGCGCGAGTTCACCCTGGACATGGAGCAGGAGTACACCGAGGACGGCGAGGAGCTGGACTGGGCCGCGGTGGTGCGGACCCTCAGGCACTACAAGGGCCACCTGCAGGTGAGTCAGCAACCTCTAGACCAGCGGGGCTCATTCACTTCTTTGTAAAATATCTAGGTTTTCACGCAGCATGATTGCTGATAATTAATTTGTCATTGCGTGTTTATTGACAGACCCCAGTGCACGGTAAACAATATTTTTTGGATTTCAAGGTTGTTTCGTGAACTTCAAGAAGGACCGGTGTATAATTTCATTTTGGGCCGTTGAAATCCCAGAATCTGCCTTGAAATCATTTGATTCCAAAGGGAACGCCTTGGAATTTTTAGTATGATATGCAAGGGGTTGACTTGGATTACTAGACGAAAATTCCAAGTCTTCCCATTGGAAGCCGAGGGTTTCAGGGCAGATTCTGTGATTCTAAGGGCCGATATTGTAAGTGTTCACCCGCCCTTGAATTTCACTAAATAACCTTAAAATCCAAGAAAAAGTTTGACAGTGTGGCTGTCTCTACCCGTTGGTAAAACTTTCCCTTACGTTCCAGTTTTGTTTGTTTTCCCCGGTTAACGTTAACGTTTCGATTTTGATGGTTGCCAAAACACGCAGGGAAATTAGAAACACTTGCAGCGTATTTTAGCGCACCAATGACCACGAAATTTTTGCACTTGCTTGCTTCGCTGGCGTGTTTAAAAACTACTCGGTTTGCTCCTAGAGCTCAGAAGAGAAGTTTTAAAAGAGACCGTCTGGAAATGAAGGGAAAACTACGTTTGGCAATCATGCTGATGTTTGCCGTGTAGTATTATTGGGGCAGGCGCGAAGTTTTCCTTGCGTTCGCGCTCGCTGTTCAAGACGAGTGGCAGAAAACTGTCATCACCCTCTCGCGCCGAGTCATGGGCTAGTCGACCGGCTTTAGGAGGAACGAAGCGCTGCTCCATGCGCCTCGCGCCTAGAGCTTTATAACTTCTCAACCTTTCACTGTTAAATTCCTACATAAAGCATTCGCTTTGCAGAGCTGCGAAGTATTTTTGCTCCTTTGTTACTACCAAGCATTTACTTCGCAATTACAAAGTGATGCTTTGCAATAGACCCTATTCGTTCTCGGCTAAAAGAGAAGAAGACAGGAATCCCGACCGGAACCAGTTCCGATAAATAACGCTATTTTAACGTTTAAATGGCTTTGGAAGGAAGAAGCACAATCCACAATGTTTGTGATAATTTTTTATGTCGGGATTGCAAGTTTTCTCGCGAAGAAATGGCAGGATAAAGGTACTGGTTCCGGTCGGGATTCCTGTTTTCTTCTCCCGGAGCCGAGACTGAATAGGGTCTCTTGCGACGTAATAAAAACGTTGCAACGCATCGCTTTGCAATTGCAAAGTGTCACTTTGTAATTGCAAAGCATCACTTAGTAATTGCGAAAGTAAATGCTTCGTAGTTGCAAAGGAGCAAAATACTTCGCAGGAACTTAACAGTTTCAACGTTATTTTATAGTTTTAACTCGTTACTTTTACTGAACCCTTTTGGAAATAAGGTAGTTAGTCGACGTGTTCAACTTTTCTCCGCAGTTCCAACGACTAACATCGGACATATTTCAAAATCGATAACTTTAACTGCTAACTTGACATGCGTTTTGCTATGTTACGCTACAACTAACGTCCCTTCGTGTTATGATAAGTTATGGAGCCTAGTCGCGCCCTCATCTTCCGCCCTCCTGGTGCGGGACCAGCCGAACCGACCCTTGCGCCCACTCGAAAATTGAACTCAAGCACTCAAAATTTTAATGTGCACCACAGCTTTCTCAGACATTAAAATGCCCTTGTTTTCGGCGCCCTAAAATTGCGAATTAAACAAAATTTAATTAGCAGTTCTAGCATAGTTTCTGGTTTATGTTGAGTAAACACGCACTTGATCTTATTTATTCGTCAATCTGTCCTTACTCAAACGTAAAAGTTCCCCGTTTTGTGAAGGTTCCCGTGTGATTCTAAAATTTCACTCAGATCAAGACAGATTAACTTTAGGAATCCTCACACTGCAAATTTTTTTCAAAGAATTTTCAAGCATTGTAAGGAAGTTTGCATTGCAAACTATTTTCTTTGCATTGCAAACTATTTTCTTTGCATTGCAAACTATTTTCTTTGCATTGCAAACTATTTTCTTTGCATTGCAAACTATTTTCTTCGCAAGAAGAATCGGTTTGCAAGGTTACGGACTAATACTTTGCAGCGTTACGAACGATTTTCTTCGTAAGGTGCGAAGAATTAGTTCGCAATGCGAAGGATTTAGTTCGCAATGCAAAGCATTTTACAACGCGTGAAAATTCTCTGCCATGCAAAGAATGGTTCTTCGCAAGCTTTTTAAACCCAAAACCGGAAAATTCGCGAAAATTCGAGGGGTCCTCTTGCAAAATAGGTGCAAAAAGAGTTTACGAGTTAGTAGGAGATATGCGTTCACTGTAAGTTTCTTACCAAGAACTGGTCTTCGTAACGTACAAAGCGTTTTGAATATTTGTAGTACAAACAAATCCTTTGTATTACTAAGTGCTCGGCTTTGTAATACGAAGGGCATGCTTCTGTTCAGAAACTGGTGCTCTTTGTAATACGAAGAAAATCCGTTTGTAATACGGTGGTTCCAGATCCTTTGTACGTTACAAACCCAATTGTTCGGAATATAAAGAACACTCTTTGTAAGGAACTAAGAGTGTTAGTTTGGCGCATTTTTTCAAGAGTTCGGCGCAATGTTTTGCTGATTTGGCGTGAGTTTTCGCGAGTGAGACGCGAGTTAGGCGCGAGCAAGTGAACAACGAGTTGGAGTGCGGGACCTGTCGGGAAAATTCATTCAGTAACGTAAAAAGGAAATTTTTCCTTATAACGAAAGATGTCGGCACGTTAAAAACAATGTCTTGTTTTCGGATAAATCAAAAACTTTGAGGAAGTCAGGAGGAAGTCTCATTTTTAAGGAGAAACTCTTGCGATTAAGAGGAACTCTTCTCAAATAATCCTCATTTTATTGAGAAGATGTATTCAAAATCGATGAGTTGAACCCTCACATATGAGGGTTCTCCCAAGATTTTCTTCTTTCCTTAAAGAAAGTCTTCCTTTTTTTACCGTGAGTTGCTTAAAAGGCTTTTGTAACTATTAAGAATACTGTCAAAGTAGAAAACAGATACAGGGTGGGTGAACCGCGCCGTGTTATACTGTACCCCCATTCATGCGTGCGGACGGGTTGCGCACGGGGCCGTAAGGCGCCATGGCGAGCGACGATAGGCAAGGCCGCCCGCACGCATGAATCCGGTACAGTATAAGCAGAAAGAACCCGGCGCGGCCACCCTCTAGGAGAAAGGGTGTTCGGCTTGCTCCCATGCCTCCGACTTGCGCCACTTTCGACACATTTCTTCCACTTTTGCCTTTGTTTTAGGTTGTCCATCTGGGATGCTTAAAGAATGTCAAATTTCTCCACGCAATTGATGGGCTTCACATCAAGGAGCTGTACGTAGGAAACTGCCTAGTCAAGGTCTATCCAGGCAGTTCCAAAGTGGTCAAGACGCTCAGCTTCTGGCAGGAGGTACGTTTTTACACCGTGGAAAGTTTAGTTTGAAACTTTCTGGAAAGTTCCAACCTTTTTTCGTGTGAATATTTTCATTTCTTTTCAAATTTCATTTTTTTTTAAAATTACACTGCAAGTGCACTGTGAGAAAAAACAACGGAAAATCAACGGACGACCGCGGCAATTATTTTCCGGACGTGTCCATACCCTAAATTTAATTGTATGGTCGAAGCAACACGGTTGTTCCGGGTTGTTCCGTACCTCGTTTTTGGGCAGCGGAGCAACCGTATCACGTATTTAACGGACATAAGCGGCTGTTATTTTTCGGACACGTCCGTACCCTAAATTTAGTTACATCGTCGAACTCGAACGGTTCTTCCTAATCTCTTTTCTGAAGTATGCTATAACGGAATGTCCGTTGCCAGTCCCGTTGTATCAGATGATTTTTTCAGTGTACTAGAGTTAGGTCATGCATGACCTAAAAAGAGCGAGATTTTTTCTCCTTGCTACATTAATGTGATTATTTAGAAACCTCGCTCTTCTTAAGAATAATTCTTAAATCTCACTCAAATCAATAGAGATTAACTTTAGAAATCCTCCCTCAAAAAGAGCGTGGTTTCCCCGTTATCAGTCAAGAGTGACATTCCGTAATCTACCGCATCGAGCGAGGAAATCAAACCTCGCCCTCCAGAAAGCGAGGAAATTTGGGCCAAATTCTCGCTCTCCGGAGAGCGGGAACCTTGCTCTAGGATTTCTAGTGTACTAAAGCCAACACTTTAAATGTAAAAGGACAATTCTGTCCATAGAAATGGAACCGATTCGTGCGCATCCAAAGGATGCACTTTTCTTCCTTATATTGGACAAAATTGTGAAAAGCCTCACACAATTTGTCTAGATTTAGAAACAAAACTGCATCCTTTCTGGATGTGCACGAATCGGTTCCATTTCTTTGGACAAAATTGTACTTTTATATTTAGAGTGTAAGTCCTGGTGCTTAGGTGCTTTGGAAACTTATGTGTGAGACTCTTACGCGTTTGACCGAGCGTTTGACACCTTTTGGTGTGAAGTAAAGTTCATCCGGAAGTTGTCTGGATGTGAGACAGCTGATCCGAAATAAGTTCATGTGTTTCTATTTCGCATCAAAATCGCGTCCATACTAAAACTTCTATATCTCCGAAACGGATGAAGTTACGGACCGCCCAAAAAATGATATTTGTTAAGGAAGATGTAACCCTTTAGTTCCTTCCTGATTGCTCTGAAATCTGTGTGCTTGGGTGTGGGACGGGAATACAGAAACCTGATCCGATATAGATTCAACCGCTGTACTGTTCTCCAAATTGTTCGAAAATTTCCCAAAGAGGACTGGATTTTTTTTCTAACTGTATTCTGGAAAATCATCCCTTCGAATTATTTGGACAGCTCTTTGATGGAAAATTCCGACTTTTACTTACCGTCTTATTGTACCTTAAATGTCGAGGGAATATTTCTGCACTCTAGAGTTTTATTGAGATCGACTAACTTGTTTAAACTGTTCACCCCTCCAGGAACCAGAAACCGAATACATATTTTCAGAAATCAAAATTATTTTTTTTATTGGCACCCTAACGAAGCCAGTTATTTGTATCAAAAACAGGACTGTTTGTATTACAAGGAAAACCGTGTTTGTAATTCGAGGGTGCAAAATTCAATGTAATTTACGGAGGGTGTGTTTGTAAAATTTTTAGAATGCACTCAGCCCGTCACTGACATTTAGTAAGTAATACTCACTATTTTGTTAGGAACTATACTCACTAAATGTGTGAGTATTACTCGCAATTTCGTGAGTTTTACTGCTGTAGAAACGAGTTCATTGTCTGCTTGCAAAATGTCAGTAACGGGCTGAGAGTGTAGAAGGACAACATTTTACTACTATTTAACTCGGGGTGCAGAAATTTGGTTTCAAATGTTCAGACATTGTTGTCCCTATGTGCATCTCTGAGCAATTCTTTTTTTTTTTTCCATATGTTTCTGGCAGACGAGCTCTGATGTTGCAATCGAGCTGCTGAAGGCGTGTCGCTCTACTCTGACCACTTTTAAGATCGACGGCTTCCGCCAATACAAGAACGAGGTAGCGTGCGATGGGCGGGTAGGGCGAGCGCTCAGATTGTGCAAGAAGCTGATGACTGCGAGCATTCCGTTGTGGGGCAAGGTGAGTGCTTTGCAACGTTTCATGCCTGCACTAGATGAGCGAACAGGCCATTTCAGGTGTGTGGTCCTCACTCCGGGACGTCAGTGCACGTCTTCTAGTCATTTTTAGCCACTGCTAGTCATTCCAGTCATTCTGAGTCTCCTTAGTCAGAAAAATCCGAGGAGGCCACAATTCCGGCAATCTAGTAGTACACTCTTAGTTTCTTACGAAGAGAGTTCGTCGTATTATGAAGCTTTCAGTTTGTAAGGTACGAAGGATCTGAAGCAGCCACATTACGAATAAGGGAGGGTGGCGGAGGGTGGGGCAGTGTCTAACGGATTTTGGAATTTGGCTATAAAAGTCAAACCATGATAAAAAATTGGGTTAATCGGGCGCAAAAGAATAGATTGGACCTTCACTAAACATGAAAGTTGCTCGGATGTATTACTAGGCGCATTCCCGTATGACCCTCAACCTGTTGAACAAAGGTCTGCATTTGTTACCCACTGCCCTGGCGCGGGGCAGTGTGTAACAAAGGCTAGGATTGAGCTCTGGACACAGCTAAAAAAGGGAGAAAACAGCTTCCCCTTCCTTTCTATATTTAGAGATAGCAACTTTATGTTTTCGCATTGCAGCATAATTTAGTAAACTTAAACCTAGAGCAAAACCACTTATATATTTGACACCCTTGACACTTGTTGGTTCGAGAATGCGCATCGAAACGCATAATTTGCCCTCATTTGCAGCATAATGCGTAAAACGCATTATGCTGCATAATTGGCCTTTGCTCGACATTATTTTCACAAATTTTGGTCCGTGAAAGCATTTTTTAAACGGACCCGTTTCTACCAGACACCGCGGCGCAGGGGGGGGG